GGTTTTGCTTCTTGTTATTGTTTTGTTTTGTTTTTTTTTGCTTTTTTTTTTGTTTTTGTTTTTTTACATTTTTATCAAACTACAGCTCTAGCATTAAGACAATCAATATATAAAGAAACACAGCTGGTCTCTAAAAGTGAAAACCATTCTTTGATTAGACAAAATCATGAAATCTGAAATACATCAAGGATAAAAGCTTGAAAAAAGCCAATATGGAAACTGTTAAATTGAACCAATGTAATGACATCTGAGCTTTTTACATTGATGTTGGGAATATTTTGGCTTCCTTTCATTCACGACTGTACCAGGCAAATTTCCATGAAGTGAATACTATGAAGCCTCCAAGTCATTTCCAAAGTATCTGAGTTCAGATTTAGCTTTTGTTTTGAAGCTCAGCCCAAGCATGTTGAAAGTTTCATCTAATACAGGAGCATTTTCAATTTGATCCAAACCAAGAAAGCAAAAATATCAATGGAATACAGCTTGGATTTCTGAACAGTTTTCCTAGAAATCAGCAAGCCATTAAATCAATCACCCAAACAAAAAACATAATCCTGGTTTTTGCTCCTCATAATACGATTTACATGGAGACTGGAATCTTAAACGTTTGAAATATTTTCTACCATCTCTGTCTTTCGTAGCTATTAGACTGAATTTGAGAGCTCTATTAGTTTAACATAGTTTTCCTACTGGCTCCTTTATTCAATGTATATTTGCAGATATACAACATTCCTTTTTTTTTTCCTTTTCCTTTTTTTCCTTTTTTTTTCCAGAATATCTATGCCAACGCAATGCTGTTGAATGAAACTACTTGCATGAAAAAGTGCACACAGTGTGAGGCATGAGACTATGGAAATGAAATGCCCTTTGGTCTGAGGAGGCTGACACTGACCCAGATATAGCTCTTGATCACTTCCCATCCCACACAGCAATTTCTATTATAGCCGGGTCAAGATCAACTTAGCCCAACCCAGCCAAATGCACGGATTACATCTGGGTCCTTTGAGTCATGCTACAAAAAAAGGTGCAACAATAAACAAGTCCATGTGCATTTTCAGTCATAACTATGAGCAGAAGAACCCTTGAGATTCCTCACTTTGGCATTAAATAACAATTATAAAGGCTTTTAGGATTAAAGCAATACATGGCAGGACTTGAAATGTTAACAGTCCCAAGTAACTTGTCAATTGAAATAAGACTCATCCCTAGTCATAAATAAATAATCTCTTTCCTGGTCTCACTTCCACGCCAGGATCAATATCTCTTAACATCTTACTTATTTTATTACTGCTTTTGGTTTTCTGGGACTGATTGAAAGTTGCTCAGAGGAAATCTTTGGTTTTGCTTAAGTGTCCGTGACATTTAATCATGACTTTCCTTGCAGTTTAATTCCAACCAGTCAATCAGTTAATCCACTTCAATTGATTCTGTGCTCTCTGTTATTGGCTTGCACTCATTGGGCATCCTCTGGTGTCGACTCAGCTGGGTGGCTTGTGTGAAGCTCCTCTCACACCTCTCGCACCTGGTGAAGGCAAGAGAGAAAATTGAGACCAGGGAGCTGCTCTGGGGGGGTGATGGGCTTTGTCTCATCCTGCCTAATCAGAACAGACATTCAAAAGTGGCTTCAGATTTTACTGGCTCAAGAGGTTTAATTGGTGGCTACTTCCAAGGCCTTGATGCCTATGATGGGACAAGGCCTGTCTGATTCAGAACAGAGGAATCTGTCAATAGACAGGGGGAAGGTGATTTCTCCAGAGAGGCCTGTCCTGCTGTAGCTCTGATCACTGTCAGTTCAAATAGATAAAGAACAAAAAGAGATTTTTAGGAGTGAGCCATCAAAGAAGCAGCTTGTCTGCAGTTTTCTGCTCTGTAACCCCTAGGAGAAATTGATGACAAATAGAATTTCACCTTCTGCTAATTTAAAATCCACAATTGCTTATTGGAGGAAGAGAAATCACAAAGCAATAATCGTTCAGTGCTAGAACAAGAGAAAACTCTTTGTTTGTCTGATCTGACTATGCAGTGTGGTTCATTTTAAATAGGCACATGGAGTTAGTGCTTACTTAATTATCTGAAAACATCTACACTGTTTGAGAAATCTGTGGGTTGAGCAAGAACTCATAACAGTCACCAGTGTTTGCTTCACTGTCTTTTATGTCGTCTCTCTTTCTACCCTGTCCTCTCTTTAGAGAACCATAATCTGCAACAAAAATAACGTGTGAATAAATGAACAAAGCCATTGAATTTTGGAGGGGATAGGATGGGGGTTATTGCCAGCTTGGAATGAATCCCCTATCCCTGCTCTGAAAGAGAATCTGTTGTATTTAATCTCCCAAATACTGCCCTCTTAATTTGCATTCTGAACACCACATAGGAGTGTTTGATGAGTTGCAAATACAGATGCAGCGGATTCTTCTTGTATAGAGCTTGCTCCAAAAGCCTCCTTTGATTTAATGGTGCTGTGTGATGTTATATCTTCAAAGCAGATTATCATAAAAGCATCGCTATGATGAATTCTTCACCTTCAAAGGAGAACTAAGGAAAACAAAGGGCTCAGCTAATTCATATTCATCTTTCTCTCTTCACTGATGTGAATGATAGAAAGTGAACTGTCACTGATCTAGCTGCTTACAAAAAAAAAAAGAGAAAGATATTTACACATATGCATAATTGTGGAATGTTCTTCACATTAGTAATTTTTAGTAAGAAAGTTCTACTTTGGGAACATTTAGCACAGACATTACAGAGTCATTCATCCAAGCTACTGTACCAATCTAAAATGTCAACACTTTTAAGTTGTGTTTCTTTGATTGTCTTTCATGGAATATTTTTAGCAGCCTGTTCCACTGTTAAAAACTGCACTGTGATCTTGACAAATGTAAAATGTCAGCTTTAATGTATCAGACCTATCAGCTCAATGAAAATAACTCAGAAGTATTGATTACTTAATGATTTTTGGGGTATTCATTAACGTCTATGTGCAGATCATCCACTCTCCAGAGCTCCTGAAGTGCTGATGACACATTAGTGTACTGCTGATTGTTTATTAGAAAACTGATTAGTTACTGGATTAGTGTGTCAAAATATACTACCTTTCATTGCCTGACAAACTTGCAAATTATTGTATTATTTTTATATACATATATATATCTATCACAGAGGCATTAGAATCAATTTTGAGGCTGGGGGTTAACTTAGTCTGTATGAGATATTGCCATCTACTTGAACTTGATAGTTTTGTTATTTTGATGTCTACAAAGACAAGTGCTTTGCTTGCTGAGTAATAGGAGGTTTGGATCCTTGCCTAACCAAGCTGTAAGTGGTACAGTTGCAAAATAACCTACAAAATCAGGTGTGGCAACACCTGACTTCTAAGGGCCTGGGTAAATAAATATATACTATATACTATATATATACCATATTATACTATATTATACTATATTGTATACTATATACTATATATAGTATACTATACTATTATAATATATTATATAGTATACTATATACTAATATACTATATTAGGATGCCTAGGGGCCATATGTGAATCAGAGAAAGAATATAAGGTGATCAAAAGACAGGGTTACTCATTAAAACCACTGGCCATGAAGCTGTAGCAGGCCTCCTTACCCTTTCTGGAGCTTGCCTGGGAGGCTAGAGCTGGGCGCTGCATTCAGTCAGCACCTTGCATTGCTCTGAAAGCATAGAACAAGGCTCACTGTATTCCTTTAAAATGCAGGTTCCTGTCCTTTATTCACAAGCTGCTTCTACCATGAGAGTGCTCTAACTTCCTAGCTACAGGCTGTTTTGGGACACTTTCATACAGACACAGGAAAGAAGGATGCTAAAGAGAGACCAGAAAAGAATACATCTCTTGCTACAAGCATGTGTCCTTTGGACAGGAAGGATGTAGGTGCCAACTGGTTCCGCTGGTCGGGCTGTGGTGTTTGCACTATACAGTCCTTGGGCAAAAGTCAGAATAAAGCCTTTGGCAAAGCTCCTAATTCCCCTGGCTTTCTCATGTACCCGGGTAACCTTCAGATAGTACCCAAGGTGCCTAGTATTTTCTAGGCACTTGCAAAGGGTGTGGATGGTGTTTTCAGGACTATAGTTTTGGATATATAAGTACCTGGCTTACAGGCAGGGACCTATATTAGGTCCCTGACTCCTCTTTTCAATGTGGTCCACAGAAGTTGTTGCTGGATACAAACTGATAGGAAAGGTGAATATAATAGTGTCACATCAGTCAGCACAACTCTCTCACGGTAGGTAGGAATGGGAGGAAAAGCAGGAATATTTTTTCTTTTGAATTACGATGTATTCTTTCCCTCTATCAGCCATCCTTTTCTAGCCTGTCATAGCAGAATAACCACTGCAATGACCTGTGTCTATGAGACTGGTGTGCATGTTTTTGTGTGTGTGTTTCCATACTACAAGCCACACATGTTTAATGTTGTGTTGGAAGGGTGAATAGTGGCCAAAACAGTCAGAAAGGAAAAAGAGTCCACCTCTCCTGCAACCACTCACAAAGTAACCATGGGGCTGAGCCCACGCCTGGCTATTAGACGTACACTAAAATTTTGGTTAAGCCTCAAGTGTAGATACAAGTGTTGGCAATAATGACACCTATTAAATGAGAGACCACGTAATTTCCACTTGAGCCATCTGATGGCATTTGAGAGTAACTTAGACAGCCCCTGACATGCTGTAGATCCAAAAAAGCAGTTTAAAAGTCCTCACACAATTAGATGTCATCAGTGAACACTAGATCCATGTTATCTTTTTTTGCAATGTGTGTGTGCCTTCATTTTAATTGTAAGGAGTAATGTTGCATTACAACATTCAACCTTGTCAAACACAAGACTTCATTCTACCACAAGGTTTCCCTGTGTGATTTGCATGGGTGGGGATGGTAATCAAAATGGTTCTTAAATTCACAAACAATGTGAAGATCAATGGGGTTTGGATATTTCTAAGGTACTGGGTTTTATGAGTTTGGTTAAATAGCCCTTATTGTCACTGGTCTGCTTCACAGTGCTTTCAAAACATTGACATTGAGGATTACAGACAGGATTAGTTTAATGCCCAAGTTTATGTCAACCTCTGTGAAAGGCTTTGGGTGAAGAAGATGCTGAACGTCTATTTTAGGAAAAAATATCTTCATTTGATATTTTCAAAATACACATTTTAAGATTTCGTTCAAGAACAGCATTTAAGACTAAATTTTAAAACAATTTTTAAAACCCCAAAAAACAACACAAAGCTGAGGTGTCACTGCAGGTACAACATCTATATTTAACCTGAAATTAATGTTCCCCAGTTTTGCATTTCAGTAAGAAACAATGAAAAACACCTGGGTTATCGCAATCTGAAAAAATCTTTCCTCTAATTCTTTTTGGTTGTCTCCTGAATATTAGATGTTTGCATAACCCTGATTCTGCAGGCAAGTCCCTTAACTAATCTTTAATTTTGATGAAATGGAAGAGACTGGGGAAGAAGAATTTAAGAAACTAGGATAATTTTCCTTTTTCTCCTACCTTTTAATTTGCTTAAGAGCTTTGTTCCCAGACTAGCAGCCATAGTGGAGACTTCAGTAAGATAAGAATACACAAAAACTTTACAGTGGTGAGGCTGACTTGATAGCTTGTGATGACATGAAAAGAAATCCCTTCTAACTGGACCTGCAGTCCAGGCAATGCAGCTAAAGCTTTGACTACAGATAACCTCACTTAGCATTGTTATCTGTAACGAAAAGCAAATAGAAAAGTCTTCCACCATACATCCAAAGTTACCTAGGACCTACAAAGAAAGCGCCTTCTCACAGAAAAAACTTTTTAACCAATCACAGACTTCCTTGTAAATAACAATTAATTTGACTTTTTAAAAATACTGTCACTCTATGTTCACTGTTTTTAAAATGACCTTCTGAAAGTAATATGCATACTTAGTGTTTGACATTGCCTGCTTAATCCATGCATACTGTAATTTGTCCAGATACCACTTACAAACATAACTGCCTTACTGCATTAGAAATAGTGAGATTGCATTCACAGTAGATGCAAATGAACTGTCCAGCTGACTGCCTATTTTGAGCTATGAAATTTAACTTAGTAATACCTTTGAAATTATGCCTGTTATTTTTAAAATAACTTAGCTAGAATTTAAGTAATTTGGCACTATACATGTATGGTTGTTCTTGCTAATAGTAAAAATATTATTCAACAGAAGTATGTACATTACCACTAATGTAGACTTTTTTGAGGTACAGAAACCCTATCTCAATGGACTTTTCCATTTTGCACTTTTTTTGGTAAGAGTACACTCAAAACCACTTTGTAAACAAACATTTAAAACCTAAATTGCACGATCAAGAGACAGAAATCTTGTTTGTCCCTTTTACGGTTCTTGCTTACAAGAATTTGTTGAGGTTTTTTCCTAAGCTTACTTAATACCAGGTCTTGGATCCCTCCTTTTCAAAGGAGGATCTAAATGGTGATGAAACATCAAGATGAGCTGCAGCTATCTCTTTTTCCTCCAGCAGAGAGGGTGGATCAATTTCTGGATAAGTTTTCTGCCCCTCCTCTCTCAAATGCAAGCAGTCCTGCATGGGAGGCAAATCTGCCCTTTTGAACAGCTTGCAGGATCAGGGCATATGTGTCCCCTTATCTGACCAGCAGGGATGGGAAGATCTGCAGCTCCAGTTTTAGCTTCATCTGAAATTACTAGTCAGCTTACTGCAAATACTTCAACAAGTCTTCCAGAGAGAAATTGGTACTACTTTTTTCTGAGTTTAAGGAAGAAACTAAATAAAAATCTTACAAGAATGAAATTATGCCATTCATCATAAAGAAGCAGTACAAAGCATCCACATTTTTTATTGCTCTGCACTGCACCTTTAAGAATGGGCAGATACATCCCAGAATACTTAAATACTTCAGCATAAGCAGGGCAAAACAAACAAACAAATACCAGACCACTGGTTAATTGTAGTACATACATTAAGCCCTTTCACAAATGAATTTGTGCTGTAGTCAAGATCATTTTGGAAAAGGGGAAAAAAATTACTAAACCAAAGGGGAAAAATAATGACTCTAAATGGAGCAAAATAGCAGATCTATTGGAAACATGACAAAAACAGGATGTTAAGGAAAAAAATTAAGTGGAGTCAACAAGGTTACACATAAGTAACACCTTAACATTAAAAGAAATCTATTTTCCATTTTGACCTGGAAACCTCTTCCATTAATTACTAAAATCTATTTACACAGCAACTAGATAAGATCAATCTGATTGCTCACACTATTTTTGGCTCACTTTCTATGGGCTTTGAGCATTCAACAGACTGCCTGTAGAGGAGTTGATGTTTAGATGCTCTGAGTTTCCGTGTTTTGCAACCTACAACACTCTCCTAGCCTTGATTTCTGGTATGCAAGTTCTTCTCTACTGGATATGCAGTATTTGCCTCCTGGCACTGTCCCCTTGCCCCCAGCAGAGACATGTATGGAGGCCATGCTTCCTTTCAACCATATATGGAGGCAAAGCATCTCTACTGATATCTCTACTGAGCTTGTTATGAGGGGTTCTGACAGGCCCCATGGCTGAGCTCTCTTACATTAACCAGACCAAGAGCACAGTGCGGGGAAAGTAGAAAAGAAAGACAAATTGAAAAAAGTAGACAGAGGACAGACAGTCCTTGGAGAACTGGAAGAGATACAAACCTTCTACACTTATTCCCATTCCTCCTAGGAACATCACATATCTTCCAAAAGAAGTGATATCAATACATTACACATTGATATCAATACACTCTTTTTCTTCCAAAGTGGGATTGCTCCAGGTAAATTATCCATAAAATTTGTGCCTGTCAGTTCAGCAAAGACGCAAACACAGATATAGAAAATTTGTATTCTGCCTTGGAAAACACCTCCTGTTAGGTAGGCAGAGTCTTGCACAACAGAAAGTAAAATCCATCTGGATCAGCTGTGCTATGGCTAGAGGTGAGCACAGAGGGAAAATTTCTGAGAGTCAGGTGTGTGCTTGACTTTAATTTCAGTAAACAGAAACTACAGAAATAAGCAGAGTCTGTTTAATTAAAAACCATCTTGACCAGGTGACTTCTTTTTTTTCTTATCTCTTGGACAGCTGAACACTATCAATTTATTACTATGATCTTACCAAACTTATGCCACAGGCCAGAGTTGCATCTTCTATGCAGTGATTTGAGACTAAAATAAGATGCATACTTCTTCCCCATATTTAACCAGATCCAAATTAGCTTTTATGTGAAGCTCCATCTACCTCAGCATATAGACATCAAAGAATCATATTAATGTTCTTACAGCATAGCCTGTCCAGTCTTGAGTGTATTTTCAGCTATGGTTCCCTGGCAGCAGCTTGTCATTTAATTAAAACAATCAAGATCTCATCAGAGGGCAGAAAATTGCTCAGGGCTTGCAAGGCACCCAAAACCAAGTCTGGTTTAATCCTGATTTTAGCCACACCACTAACGGATTTATCCGGAGGTCTGACCTTGGCTTTCAAGGGAACCTCTGCTGTGTGCTGGTACAGATCAGTGATGCTAGCAAATAGCAGCGATGCATGTCCCTCTCTAATCTCAGCGGGCAAAGGCTGCTGGCTTCAAGTACTTACTTGAAGGGCTTTTCCCCAGTGTGTGTCCGGATGTGGTTGTTGAGTGTTGTGGCACCAGCAAAGGCACGACCGCAGTAGCCACACTTGAAAGGCCTGTCGCTGGAGTGCGTAACTACATGGTTCCTCAGCTCTGAAGGTTGGGAGAAAGACTGGGAGCAGTGACCACACTGGTAGGGCCTGCAATGGGAAAGAGAAGCACCATGCCATCAGTGCATTCAATAGCCGTGAACAGGAAACCATATGGACGGGAACATCTGGTCTTCCCAGTAACTTCCAAAGAGAACTGCGGGTGCACTTCTCTGGGGCTTTCGTGGGAGGCACATACATACCCAATATTTCAAGACTGCTTTAACAAATGTGAAATGATTATTCAGGAATTGACTGAAAGTCTATGGTCATCATGCCACACAAAACATAATTCAGCAAGCTAGTGAGGCTGCACTACACATCATATGCCTGCCTTATTTCTCCCAAACTCAACGTCATACTCCTTAGTCACAAAAATCTCCTCACGTATTGGAGGTAAGAGACTGACGAAATCCTCTGTCTGTTGGTGCCAGCTACAGTCTTACCTACAAATGCATGTCTGATTGTTATACCTATATCCTAAATGGATTCTGTGACTGCAATTAAATTCTTCATATTGCTTTGGAGGAACCTAGGGTTTTTGAGGTCACCTTTTTCAATGAGAGACATCGGAAAAAATAAGCACCATGTTACAATTACTTTTCTATTTTCTTACTGCTGTTGAAAATATTTGCATTTAATTAACATGTTTCTCCCACCCAGACTGCAAATGCCTTTTTTGTGATCTTGAAATGAAACACAGAACTTAGGTTTTCAACACCACAGTTTGTTAAAAACAAGCATAACAAACAAATAAAACTGACGGAGATGTTACAAATTCAGAATCATAGCAAACAGACTGCAAACACAGAAAGAAAAGGATACAAGACAGCAAGGTGAGACAGGACTGCTGAAATGCAAATACCATTGCTAACTAAAATAAAATGTGAAGAAACAATGTCTATATATTTCTGTTTGGTAAAAGTGATTTAATATCAACATTTTATAAGGTTTTTTCCTTTTCACATTTGAGTTAAGTTAGTGACAGAGTCCTACATTTTCATCAGACTTTTTGTTAAGAAAATTAAGATTTTTTCTAGAGGGATATTAATGATTTTTACCCTGCACAACATCTTAAGGCACAGCTCTTGATGTCTGCATTTCTAGAGCCAATGGCCAACACCAACTTAATTGCTCTCTCTTAAATAAATGTTTATTTTTAAATGGCTAGAAACCAAAACTAAAGGGAAGGAGACAATGGTGACCAAGCATGTACAATTCAATTAAGTGCAAAATAAAGTGAACTATCTCATTTGTCAAGTGAAGTGCTTAATTGTGGCTACTTGCATCACCGAACACAAATACTATTATTTTACAGTGCTTCAGAGCACTGAACCCTGATTGTAGAATTTTTTAGCTTGATTAATAGCTCAGTATTGGTCAATAACTCAATAGCTTACAATTTTAATTACTTACATTTGAAAATCTAACTGATCTCCAACCAGCTTGAAAGAAATATATAAAAGCTGTGGAAAGGTTACTTAACATAGATTATATGGTCCTTAAAAAATTACACGAATATATGTAAAATAATATTTTAAGAAAAAAAAAAAAAAGTACTGAATATCTGTTTCTCTTATTGGAGGACAAGTAGTAAGATGCCCAGTCTTCTCCTTTCTTGAAGCGCATAGTTAATTTGCACAGAAAATATTTGTCAAACTTGACATGAAAATTCAAGTGGTGGTAAAACAAAGATGATTTGTGAATGCAGACTTGTTTGGGTATTTTCAAATCAAACACTTTTAAGCAAAAAGAACACATTAAGATATTCTGTATCCAAGAAACATTGATTTTCTAATAATGAAAGGGACCATTAATATCTATTAGCCTCTGGTTATCTATTTTTAACAGCTACCACAACAAATGATACAACACTACATAAAACTAATTAATCTTTTATTTTTTTAACAGTCAATGTGATTAATTTCACATACGGTGAAAACTCACACCGTAACTTGTCTGTAAATAGTCAAAATTCCAAACCAGTTATAACTGAACATTGTGATGCCAAGTAAAATGTTTCTACCCCCTGCATTGGCTCAAAACAAATTTATTGTTTACAAAGGATATTAATATATGTACTCAGAATATATTTCACTGGCTGATGCTCAAGAAAAAGAGCCCCATAAAAAATCACCTATTGCTAGATCATTAGACTGTATTTTTTCCCTTCATCCTTATCTTGGGAGAACAACTATTAAAGAAGTTACCCTCCTCTTTGCAGGGGATGCATTTCTCTAGTTTATACACAGGCAATTCTGATTAATACTAAAATGGGCAGAATAAGTAATTTTTTCAAGCTAGACACATGGCACACATTAAACAAAGCTCATTTTAAAAAGAAAGCCTATAAATGCATTGAAATACTATAACAAATTTAAAACTCTGTATCTAATTTGTACAATTGCAGATTCATATATGCCACATTTTGACAACTTTTGGATACAACTATTTTTTCCAAGAGCAAAAGAAGTCATTCAATAAGTATAAAAGTTATCATTTTGTTCTCTGGTAACTATTTTACTGTGCTCAGAAATTTTTCTTGGCAGAAAATAAAATCAATATGTTGTTTTTAAAAACAATGAAAGTGGTGCAGAAGGACTGAACATGAGCAATGCTTGGTTCAGTGAGTACATTGACACAGGCAGAGCAGGGCTGTCTTTGATGTAGCAGTTATGTCTTCTGCCATTGCTTTGGTCTGCACTGGGACAATGAATTAAGATGGTGACCTCTTTATAGCAGAGGTTTGCAGACAGAAGGACCAGCAACATAGTGACAAAAACGGTGGTTTTCATAGGCTGTATTCTCAAAAATGTGCTGCTAGACTGAATGTAGTCCCAGCCTAGAAAAACTCATTTCCACTGGAATAACTGAGAACATATTGTAACTTCTTGAGCTTCAAGGTATCCAGGTGAATATAAGCCTAGCTATGCCACAGCCCAGATGTGTGTTGATGCTCCAGAAAATTAATGTTCAAACAAAATGGATGTCAGCTACTTCATATGTGAAAGCCTACATAACTAAAATATTCCTTTGCAGATGTACAGACAGATTTGCGAGCATGAAAGTTTGATGAAACAGGTGTACCAGGGCCTCAAAGTACACACTGTCTGAAGAAATATTTTTTTCTATAAAAAATTCTTCTCCAGCTATCACATACCAGAAACAACAGAGTTTTGAATGTCTTCGTCATTGCGTGTTCTACAAAGGATCTTGTAGATGTAAATCAAGCCTGATCAAAATCTTCTCATATAGTATTTTTAAGTTACATTTAGGAACAGCTAAACTGATGTATAGTAATGTGCAGATGAGAATGATGTGCCGACAGCCATCAAAAGCAGTTCTAATGCTTTTCATTAACCACCTACCTACATATTTTTCTAGTTCTCTGTCTTCCTGTCTGAGCTTAAAGGAAGGAAATCTACTTACCTAGAAGCAAATTCTTCTGTTAGAAAAATTACACTGTTGTAATTAACCCCATGCACCATCAATCAGCTGTCTAGCTTTACTATCATGTAGAGTCCAACATCTTTTTCTAGATACCCTAATCTCACAGTCTCTGTCTATATGATGGCCTACTATTGGAACACAGGCCATTTAAAGTGACATTCAGACAGGAGTAACTGTGATGTAATAATTTTCAGGTTTTGTAGTTATTCAGATTTTGAGCTTTTCCAAGTTTTTCAAGTTACCTTTTCAAAATGAAACCAGTCAAGAATACTTTTTGCTCCCTAATGTAGACAGTCTCTTGAATGATTTTGCTGTTTGGTTTATGTCTTTTCCCATCTTACAATTTTCTCACTTTTGTAGCTGATTTTTTCTGGGTGAAACCACATCATGTATAGGACTAGTAGAAAACCCATGTTCCCCTATGATGCTTATGGAACCTCACGAAAGCTTATGCTTTGTACAGGGGATGGGGATCCCTTAACGTGCACAATGCATGTTAAGGGATAACAATAGAAAAATCTGTATCTTTGCACCTGGAATAGTTGCTGACAGACAACTGTACGTTTAGATTGATTCTTTTTAAATTTTCATTTCGCAAAAATGACATAGCCTTTAATTATTTATCTTGTACTGTTTCTCTGCTGGAACAATATACTTTCCAACCCCTAACTCCTAAGTACATCCAGCCAATATAAACTTATTTTCTACATTGTAAATAATTCATGGTCTGAATTATTAGAATCCTGAAAAATCTTATAATTATTTTCCACTGAATTTTCAAATTGTTTCCTTTATGATGAACAGGTTTCCAGTGAGGCCTCTTCAGGAGTGAATTTGCCGTTTTCAAGGGGCATGTGGAATCCCAGTGCAATTCTTACAAGAGGAGTTGCTTGTAATGGTGAGCTCCTGAATACCTGTAACTCTGTCATTGAAACTGTCAGATCAGGGAGACAAAATAGCACATTACTGTCATTTTTTCTCCTTAGAAAAAGCTAGAAAAGCACCAGCTGAAAGAATAGAGACTGACATGCACTTGAAAGTGCTTTTCTCCTTGTTGAGGACTAAGAAATAAAAATCCAATATGATTCATGTCAGGGTCTCAAAGTGTGGGATGCAGGGCTCTGTTGAACCCAGGGCAGGGTTTCAGAGTGTCATAGGGGGAAGGCTGTCACACCACAGCCCCTGCAAAAATATGAAAGCAGGGCATGTTGAAATGGGGCCAGCATCAGCTTCCGGGGAGAGGCCTTCTTACAACACGCAGCATTAAGAGCACAGCTGCAGTCAGAGGAGTTAGGTCACAGTTGTCCTAATGGAAAGGTATTTTGGAGGGATGCCTTCTTCTGGCAAGTTGAACTAAGAGGCTGGAGAACAAAGTGACATCTAAGGATACTTGCACACAGAAGCATCGCTAGCTTCAGTGTGGTCATGGGTGGATTACATTCACTACCTCTGGACTCTACATCCCCTACTGCCTTGGCATTCCTCTCAGGCAGCACAGCTACTGCCCCAGGCACTTCAGGCGTCACGCAGCAATGGAGATTGCAGAGCTGGACCCACTGGGAGTTCTGGGATTGTCTTTTACAAATGTTTGTTGAGGAACTAGCAAAAGCAGAAAGTTAGTGTACTTGAAGTGTTTTCAAACTTCCAAAGCTGTCAGGGAGAGGTGCTGCTCTGTACAAGCTTTGTTGTTATTGCCGATGAGTACTGGGAGTTTCCAAACCTTTGTGAAATGATTATGCAAGGACAACCATTAAATTCAGCATGATGTTTACTTTAATTGAGCAATGTTCCATAGCTACTCCATAAACAAAAATAGACAACTCTTCCTCAGAGCATTTACTTTTCTAGGTCTGTTTGGGAGATGTTTAAATTAATTAATGGACTTGGGGAGAACATCAATGTCAAAGACACAGAACCTATAAAGAAAAATATAAACACAAAATGGGCTGAGCTATGATCTTAGAGAAAAGGATCTATTAAATTGGCAACTTCAAACTTCAAGCTTCTGTTTTTTAAAAAAAAAACTCACAATTGAATATTGAGGTGCTACAGCAAAATATGAGTACAATAATATCTTTTGAGTAAACAAGAATTGTGAGGGCCAGATAACATCCACATTCTATCAGCCATGGACACACTTATAAAGTGGGTTTTCCCTCAAATTATCAGCTTAAATACATGACAATCTATGACAATATATATCACATAGATGTACATGTTGTATATAAAAATGTTCCACAGACAGCTCTAGGGAACTGCAGCCATCTGCCTTCCCTCAACACCAATACATCCTTAATCTTGTGATCATAGTGAGAAAGAAGAAAGATGTCATTAAAAGACACTGTGTCATTATCAGAAAAGTGGTTGCTG